CACTTCGTTTGCCACCCGAAAACCTTCCAAACCCACCGTGCCATGCTGTGCAGCTATACTAGTAGTATAGTTCTAGCATGAATGGGTCGGCTCGACCGGGGAAGGACCACGCTCTCACAGAAATTTAACGTAAAATAGCAGCTTAACACTGCTGCGTTTCGTATGGTGAGTGTAGATAACCGGAAACCGTTTTACTGGAAAAGAGGCATTCCATGTTAGTCCTCACGGGTGACAACGCATCTGCATTTTGATTCTTTATTGAAGATAGATGTTAATGTCTATGGGTCTCAGCAACCATTTACAATCAGGTGGACTGTGTGCTTGTTTGCCACCTATACTATAAAATAAAAATATATGGTTGACTCATTTCCAATTCAGCTGATTCGTTGCGATATGTCAGTTACTCTGGTTATACTAACATAGTTATTCTATTTCACGATGAAGGTTTAACTTTGGCTGTTGTTAGCCGTGCACAGACACATTGTGTGATTGTGCGGAGGCTGCGAGCGCTCAGGAGCGGTAGCGCTCCCGAGGCCTATGCACACTAACACAGTGTGTATGTGCACGCCTAACAACAACCAAATTTAAACCTTCATCGAGAAACAGAATAAATATATTGCGGATGTCCTCATTACGAAGTCTATCTCGCAGATAAACTGCGGACTACCTCTTGATTTTTCCATTAGTTTCTACATGCAACTAATTTCGGTACTTAATTGGATTTTTTTTAATAAAACTGTTAAGCGTTGCATTTTATCTTGATATGCTTAATCAATAACTGTCTACATATCAGGCTACTGCTGAAATAATTAAAATAACGAAGTTGATATTCGAAGAAAGAATTATAACTCTTTTTTATTAATTTAAATTGTTGCTTGGTTTTATAATTTTTATATCTAGACTTATTTAGAGTCAGAATTTAATAGATAGCATTAACATAAATTAAGAGGATGTAAGAGATTGTTTTATTTTGATTTATTTACAATCTACGGTTACTTTGTGGTTAATATTGTTTAGGATTTTTTTTATAGGATAGGGGTGACAAACGAGCACAGTCCAACTGATGGTAAGTGGTTGCTGTGGCCCATAGACATCTACATCTATCAAAATGCAGATGCGTTGTCACCCATGAGGACTAAGATGGAATGCCTCATTTCCAGTAAAAAGGGTCTCCGGTTCTCTACACTCACCATACAAAACACAGCAGCGTTAAGCTGCTATTTTATGTTGGTATTCTGTGAGAGCGTGGTCCTTCCCCGGTCGAACCGACCCATTCGTGCTACAACCATAATATAGCAGCAGCATGGCTCTACCACGTTGAAATGATTTATGAAGCACTAATCCCTTAGTCTTAACCAGTTTAATATTTCTGACGTTATTCCATTAAAATCTTACGGTCGAAGAGTTTTAATATTGTTGTCATGTAGTGGTTTTACCATTTTTAAAATTCCGCGGTCTACAAGCTTTCTTTCAGTCTGTCCCAATATTTCATATCATTATTACTATCTTCTAAGTTAATGGCTGAATTAGATAACAAAAAAAAAACAGGGGCATGTTTTTCAATATTTCAAGAAATAGCTAAGAGGATATTTTTTTTTCATATGATAGGTATTTTAATATAATTCTAAGGTCTCATAAACAATATTTAATAATTAACTAAAGTTATCGAAATATCAAGCTTAAAGAACGTTACACTGTGCCTTGCCTTATAACATTTCAAATAATGTATCCAAATTGAAAAGTTGACAATATAGACATTTAAAAAAAAATATATTCAACCTGTACTTTTGAGATTTAAAAAACATCATTAATAAAAATGTGTTATTTTTAAAAATTAACCCTACTTTAAGTCACAAGACGCCAATTATTCAACTATAGTTGACGTTGTGTTAAATATTGATATAAATATAACATTATAATTTGATATTACTAATGAAATTTTAGTCATAATATATTACATAAATGGACTTAATATCATTTATCAGATACATGTGGTATAAATCTATCAATCGTATCTTATACACATTAAAATTCGGATAAGTTATACGCTGATATTCTGTAAGAGCGTGGTCCTTCCCCGATCGAAACGACCTATTCGTGCTACAACCATAATATAGCTGCAGCGTGGCTCTACCTCGTATATAATTAGTTATTTTATTCTATCGTAAAAAGTAAAAACTGTTTTAAGTAATACTTTTTTAATTACATTAACGATGTAATTATGTGGTTATCTATAAAGTTTTCTCATCTGGTTGGGTAATATAAATAGATAATTGTAAATAAACATGGTAAACGTACATAAACATCAATAAATTAAAATAAATACATGAAAAATACATAGATATATAAAAATCCAACCAGATTATGCATGGTAAGCGCACTTAAAAAGCCGCGTCCACCATACTTCCGCGGCAAGTACAGCCTCATTACTGACGAAATCGGATGATGCATCCTGTGGAACGTCATAATAGTGCGGACTTTTCTGTTCAGAGCGTTCAGTTCGGTCTGAGTCCACCTGAGTATGCCAAAGGTATACATGAGAACAGGCATGATCCAACCGTTATATCGACACCTGCAAGGAAAAACATCGTAACTCATTTTTATCAACTTTTCAGGAGAGCGCGTCAAAGATTAAAAAAATTCTTAAGTCTTTCTATTAAGTCCTATCGCCATCTCACCGTGAAAATTTGAGTCAACAAAGGAAAATCTACACTTTCATATTCTTGATATGTTATTAATATATGTAATTTATTATTTTTTATGAGTTACAATCATATTACATCACATAAACCTTATAAAATGACATTGTAACTCAGACATACAACTCAACTTTGTGTGTTAATATTTACTTCATTAAGTTAAAAACATTGTAAGTCTGAGATACAATGCTTAACATGTATTTTTATGTATTTTAGAGTTAATGTAAGAATAAAACATGGTTAATTAATTAGGAAAATCTTTATTAATTTTAATTATAATAATCTCAAAATGCAAAAGATAAATCATGTTATCACACCAACGCATGTTATGAAAATATAATATTAAAAATTACCGTTTTTCCATTTCTGGTTCGTTCTTTCTTGTGTTTTGGTATAAGCTTCATTTTTGAGATCTGTTATAGGTACCTATCCAATCAACTTAAAGATAAGCATTATAGTCAGGCCCATGAAATTCTGAATATCACAATTAATAACAAATTTTTAAATATTTAAATAAACAAACATTACAAATTAAGGCAATCTAAAATCAGTTTATTAACTACTAAAATCAAATCTGAAAAATTCAAGCAATGCAATAAATAAAAAATTCTATAATATCTTTAAGAAACAATCATTTGAAATTTAAGCAAAAAGAATTATTAAAAAAAATGTCATTGATTAACATCAAAGATTTTTCTTTTTCAAATTTCAAATATTTGTTTCTGTAAGATATTTTATAATTTTTAGTTTACATACAGTATAGTAATTTATATACTTACTAAAATATACATAATACTTTTAAATCAAAATACTTCTTAATCAGAATCAGTCATATTATTTGGTAGAGTTGCTTTCAGATGAGGTAAATGTATAAAATAATCATGATATGTTGTTGTAATGGCATTGTTATTACATAAGCTAATTAAATCTTTGTACTTTGCTGTAGATAAAGGCAAAGGTGCATTATAAGCCTTTGAAATGTTTATCTCTTGTTCACTGTTTTGAGGTTCCTTGTTAGCGTGATGAGTAACTGCCCGAAGAGAAATTGTAGATGTGTCTAGATTTATAGCCATTTCATTGTCACTCAGATAATCATATTGATATTTATTTATATTTGGTAAGCTACTGATAAAATGAATGTGCATAATTGTACTCCAGGAGACTTTCACATGGTTTACATCGTGTTCCCAATTTTTGTAATATGGCAAAAGCTGTTTAAAATCTAATATCGTGTCTTGGTTTACTTCCTTGACTTCATACGCCTCACCATTAGATTTGGCGCACCTTATCAAAGTTACCAATTGCTGAGGTACGTAGATAATTTTATTATTTTTCCTCCGCTCAATAAGTGCATGCAACGAATCACCCTCTGATTGTGAATCTCCAAATTCAAAGAAGTGATGATTTATATTTATATTAAATGTTCTGCTAGCATATGCATACATTGCAAATACTGTCCTATTTTTATTCTGACCGCCACAGCTATCTATACGTGGTAGAGCCATGCTGCAGCTATATTAGTGGTATAGTTGTAGCACGAATGGGTCAGCTCGACCGGGGAAGGACCACGCTCTCACAGAAAACCAGCGTAAAATAGCAGCTTTTAACGCTGCTGTGTTTCATATGGTGAGTGTAGAGAACCGGAGACCCTTTTTACTGGCAAAGAGGCATTCCATCTTAGTCCTAACGGGTGACAACGCATCTGCATCTTGAGTCTTTATTGAGGATAGATGTAGATGTCTATGGGTCGCAGTGGCCACTTACCATCAGGTGGACTGTGTGCTCGTTTGTCACCCTATCCTACAAAAAAAAATTAAACTCTTTGTACCCTTCCTGTACCTTGATTTTTATGAAATCGAATACAAAACTACTTATTTCGTTAAATCCTTTGCGTCCGATCGTCTCGTCCCACAAGTAGCAATATCCTTTATGTTTACCCATATCACAGATCGTGAAGTTATATGTAGCAAGTTTTCTTTTGTAGTAAAATACGGATGCTTCTGAATGAGGAGTATTTAAAATTTTCTGTAAATCGTAACAAGCTGATACAACAGAATTGGAGTTCTTAGCTCGTTGTTTGTCACTATCTTTTAAAGACCTGACCACATTTTTGTTCGCAATATGTAAAGCGTACTCATACTCTAGCTTAGTTTTGTCAGCCTCAGTTGCGTTTTAGTATAAATCACACTTTGGACATTAGTATTTTTTTGGTTTGTTGAAGTCTATATTGAAATCTGTCTTAAATATCTCCCTATACTGTCTTGGAGTCGCAACGACCTGATCGGAATGTTTTTCATTCATCTATTCCAAATAAAGCTTGTAGAGTATAGGAAAGTTCAGTTGTTCATCCAGATACTGTTTAGATGACCTATCTCTCACGTAGTGTGAGTCAACTAATGGCATTTGTGAAATATGGTCTCTAACAGATTGTTTGACTTGATCTGGAACGGCATTTTTGCGTTTATCATTTATAATAGTACCTGTAGCAGACCTATCAATTTTTTTTAAATAGAGTGCAACCACATGTCGCTTATGGAGAGGGTGTTTAAAAACATCGTCTTACAGGTTCGTATTTCTCGACCTTCTGTAAACAAATTGTATTCAAAAGACCACTTGCGCCGACTGAATGAGGCCGAGCTGGCAAGAACTTGTTTTTTCGGGACTTTTTTGACAAATCGGCTAATATAATCCATTTGTTTATTATTTTAGCCGATTGTACGATTGACAATATTGGATTGTACACAACAACGCGTGCGAGGAGCGTAACTTGAAATAAGTTATATATGTAGTCTTTAGAGTGATATTTTTATTTTCTGTTTAAAGATTAAAACATCGTAACTAAGGTTACGATGAAAGCTTTTTCAATACAAAAAAAAAATTGCCAAGAACAAGAGGGTGTCTTGTATTACAATTTTTGTTATGTAATAAATTAATGTCAGGCATAGGTAAGTATGTGTAACTAAATATACCTTTTTATCATCTTCAGTGGACACTGACTTACAACATTTTTCTACTGCCTAAAATCGTAACGCGTATGAATTTAGACACAGGGGTGAGCACAAATGAAAGAGAATTTTTTGTTTACTAAGAATATGATTGTAACTCAAAATCGCTAAAAAGTGAGTTACGATGTTTTTCTTTGCAGGTGTCGATATGCGTGCGTCTTATTCACACCAGACAAAAGGCTGTTAAGCACTTTGGTCAAGCGTGCATAAAACACATCGCAAACTGACTGTTTCATACCCGCCTCATCTACACCCATGTTCTGTGACATACCCAGGTATCGGTATGTTTCAGCCTCGGAAAGGGTCCTTATGTTGATGGGCATAGATAAGTCTATGCCTTTAGAGTTAGCAACCCTTTCCCTTTCAACATGGAGGACCGCCCACTTATCCGCCCCAGCTCCATTCTAATAGAACTACTAAAATCACAAGTGATGTTTAGCAGCTCCATAAGATGGGAGCGACTGGAGGCGAATAACTTGAGATCATCCATATAGAAAAGGTGGGTCACTTTTGTCCCTCCTTTCCGAAGCTGAAATCCCCTCCCGGAATCCTCCAGTAAGGCACTGAGAGGGTTCAGGGAGAGGCAAAACCAGATTGGACTCAAACAATCGCCCTGGAAGATACCCCTTCTTATCCTTATGCGGCTTTCCGCATCCGTCATCCACTCGCCTAGATGACAAAGGACTGTACTCCACTGCCCCATACATTGTCCGAGGAAGTCTCTAACTGTACAGTCAACCTTGTACAGCTCGAGGACCCCCTTTAGCATTATTATTATTAAGTTTCATATTAGTCAAAATCACGACTAGATATTTTAATATGAGGTGATTTCCTTTACCGTAATCGTTACAGTCTATTGAAGTCCACTGCTGAATATAGGCTTCCCCCATAGATTGCCTCATAAAGGTTATATTTAATAGTTGCCACGCTTGGCAAGAGGGTTGGCAACCGAATTTTTTTTATAATTTAGGGTGACAAACGGGCACACAGTCCACCTGATGGTTAGTGGTTGCTGTGGCCCATAGACATCTATATTTATCCTCATTTGCGAATCAAAATCAAGATGCGTTGTCACCTGTGAGGACTAAGATAGAATGCCTTTTTTCCAGTAAAATGGGTCTCCGGTTCTCTACACTCACCATACGAAACACAGCAGTGTTAAGCTGCTATTTTACGCTGGTATTCTGTGAGAGCGTGGTCCTTCCCCGGCCGAGCCGACCCATTCGTGCTACAATTATACTACTAATATAGGTGCAGCATGGCTCTACCACGTAGAATTTTATTTTTATTTTTATTCGTTATTAGGAAGACGCTGCTGCCCATCCCTTGCTTTGTTTCCCTCTGTCGCCTCTTACGACACCCACGGGACGGTATGGGGTAGTGGATATTCTTACGCCGCCACTACTTATAGTGTGATGGTACCCATTACACCATGATGCTATAATTTAACAGATAACGCTTTTTACGCGCAGCGTGTGCACGTTTAAGAATTCCACATTTCATTAATTCAGTAGAACATTGTAAGTCCACAGTTGAACACAGACTCCTCCGTAGATTATTTCATATAGGATATTTGCCATAGTTATCACGCTTCGTGTAGTCTTTTTATTGTTTTTAACTGTTGTTATGGAGACGCTGCTGCCCATTTCCAGTTCTTTTTTCCTCTCGCACCTTCCTCTGTCGCCTCTTACGAAACCCACGGGATGATATTACGATAGTGGATCCTCCCTACGCTTACGCCTACTCTACGCCTTATTATTATAATATTAAGTAATATAATTAAAGTGCTCATAAGATATAGAAGAAAACCATAGTGTATTCCAGTGTTTATGAAAACCAATGTAAGGTTTTCAAAAAAAGGTAAGGATTTCGTCTTAAGGTTTATTTTAGAATGAAGACGTTTGATGTAACTACAACAGCTGAATGTATGTTTATAAAATTTCATGTCTATTATATTTTGTACGTGGTAGAGCCATGCTGCAGCTATGAGATAGATAACTCTTTATTGCATTTATACAAAGTGTTACAACTACGGAAAACTTAAGAACTACAAACGGTGGTCATATCGCTTTAAGCGATTTCTACCTGACAAACCGAACGTAAAAGGGACAATGTAATATATTTTGACGGATAGGTGCAACGTGCAATATAAAATAAAACTGAGGACAAAAACTTATAATTAAACAAGATTTATATAAATATATGAATTATATAATATATAACATTATAAAATTAATAAACATATATAAATAAATATACATATATACATACATATATATAAATATATATTTACATAATATATATACTCACATACATACATATATATATATGCAGAAAAAATTAAACAAAAGAAAAAAAAACAAGTATTAATAAAAAGACGAAATGCATATAATTTATCATTATGACGGGAAATTCAAATAATACTCCTTCAGTTGTTTTTTAAAAGTCTGTAAAGATTGCGCTTGCTGGATGTTAAGTGGTAATGAATTCCAGAGTCTGGTTGCTTGTGAAGTAAATGAATTATTATAAAAAGAAGTTACGCTGCAAGGAGTATTCAAAGCCAAGCTATACACTGAACGCAAACTACGATCGTGAAATTCATATCGATAGTGAAATTGTTCCTTAAGGTATCTTGGAGATTTCGGATCAAACAGAACACAAAAAAGTAAAGAAAGTAAATGAACATTCCGGCGAAGGTGAATTGGGAGCCACTTGAGTTGATTTCGAAATTGGGATACATGGTCATATTTATGAAAAGCTTTTGAAGACGCTCAAGCTTCTTTAATTGCTCCATGGTAATATCAGTGTAGCATATATCAGCATAGTCTAAAATAGGCAACAAAATGGAATGTGCTAACGCAATTTTTGTAGAAATGGGTAAGAAATTTCGAAGTCTTTTGAGACTTCCACAAGCTGCAAACATTTTCCGACTTATTTGTTCAATTTGTGGTGCCCAAGACATTGTACTGTCAATTAGAACCCCTAGATTTTTTACAACCTTACTGTAAGGAATAGCAGAATTTTCAAAATAAACGAAAGGCAGCGTATGCCAAGTAATTTTTTGTAGTAGTTTGTTGCTACCTATCACTATTACCTGCGTTTTACTAGGGTTAACCTTAATTCCATAAGATGTGCAAAATTCTGAAATAATAGCGAGATCACGATTTGTGGATAGCACGGCAGATGGAAGATTATTGATACTTGTTTGAGAATATATTTGGAGATCGTCTGCATAAAGATGGTAGAGAGAAGTTATTCCTGAAGTGATAGAGCGTACGAAAATTGAAAAGAGGAGAGGAGACAACACGCCACCTTGTGGTACGCCTGCATCCAGAGAACACCACGAGGAATAAGTATCTTCAATACTGATGCATTGACGGCGTCCAAACAAGTAACTACGAAACCAGTCAGTTGCCGCTAGAGATACGTTAATAAAATGGAGCACAGCTAGGAGTATATCAAAATAGATAGATAGAAGAGTAAGAATAGTAACTTGCCGATTCTCCATTCCTGCCCGAATGTCTTCTGTGATTTTAACCAAAGCAGTGACCGTGCTATGTCCAGGACGAAAGCCTGATTGGAATGTATTTAAGAGGTTATTTTGATTAAGAAATAGATTAATTTGCTGGTGGACAAGACGCTCAAGAATTTTAGAAAGAAGAGGTAATACGGAAATAGGACGATAATCACAGAAGGACTTGGGATTTGATTTCTTGGGTAGTGGAATAATTTGAGCATCTTTCCATAGAGTAGGAAAAGTTCCTGTATTTATAGAATTGTTGAATATTTTAGTTATGATAGGAGTTAAGAGATCTAATAGCGGGAGAATCATATTTCGGCTGACATTATCATTACCAATTGCATTAGAAGTTACAGATGTGATATTCTTTTTAACGTCACAATCAGCAACCTGACGTAAAATGAATTAGGGGAAATCAGGAGTTGGCAAAGAATGAAGGTGATTTAGTGTCCTGGATTTACAACTGTTAATGTAACTAGAACTTGAGAAAAGTATTGATTAAGCATTTCAAAGTTTAAACTTATATTCACTTACGGCTACACTTCAATTTTATTTATTTGTATTTAACTAAAATATAGTATAAACTTAAAGCTAAATAAATGGTTACACACAATATTAAAAATAACTATAATAAATAAAAAATAAAACTAAAAATACATATTACTAATAATAACATGTACACCGAATCAAAGCATGAAATTATTAGAATGTGGAATTTACATTACGCCATTATAGTTCCTATAGTCCTCTCTACAACTTGTGTAATACCCAACGCGATTTATCGATCATTAAAAACTCTTACCAAAACTTACATATATTTATTTGAAAATAGTAGTTTTAATTAATACTTGAAGAATAGTTAGAGAAT